AAAAATCTCTTTCATCATCACGGCCTTTTGCCAATTAATTGGGGTTGGCTAAAAACAACAGTCTCTTTATTGCTTAAAAATAAAGCAATTACAATGTGGGGACATTCCCTCATGCATCCGGCAGAACCTGGACCATCTTTCACCATTGGTTTATATACAACCCCAAGAACCCCAACTTGAGTCAACCTTCCTTGGGGTTCTTGGGGTTTTCTAGGGGTAAATTGGGTCATTTTGGGTACCATAAGGGGTTCGGGAAATTTTAGTAATTTTTTGGATTTTCTAGTTTGTAAGGGTATTTTGGGTATTTTGGTTAACTTGAGGGGTAATTTGGAGATTATGGAAGGGAGGCAGGGGCACTTTGGGAATGTTCAAGTTTTTGCTCTCTAGGGCAAGGGTTTATCTCTCTATATTAGAACTTAATTTTCTAACCCTTAAGAATAAGGTTTAAGTTGGCTTTTACAGACAAGGAAAACATGGGCGGAATATTAAAAGTTGGTGGGTGGAATATCAAAAGCATGGCTAAAGGGGTGTGGATTATTAAAATTCAACTCGGATTAGTGCTGAAAATGACCAAAAAGGGTGCCTTAACCTTGGAATTTTCTATGACTTTCCTTTGAGGAGGCTCCCTTCTTCATGCACCACCAAAACCCATCAAATTGGATTGTTTTTCCACTATTTCGGCCCAATTTTTCTGTGAAATTATGGAGCAATCGACCACAATCACTTTGCAACAAATTTCAGCCTAAACGGTTCGCAATTAGCCAAGTTGCACTCTTTGAGTTTTTGTTTTTCATTTCCTGTAAAAATTGCATGCCCCATTTCTACACCTCATCATTGAGCACAAATTTGGCCGCAATTTTGATGTTCAGCTAGTAGATTCTTGTGGAAGACCCCAAGACCCATGTTTGGCGAAAATTTCAGCCCAAGATGATGCCATATTGGAGAGAGATGACTCTTTACTTTTATTTTATTTTTTGCAACTATAGTCTCATAAATTTAGGCAACTTCTCATTGAAATTTGCTCCTTGAATTGGCTTTTGATCATATGTCAACACGTCACAAATCATGTTTCAAAGACTAAGAGAATTAAATAAGGAGAGAAAAAGATGTCACCACTTGTTGGAAAAGGTAACTCCTAAGAGTTTTAACCAACAAAAGAGTAAAAGGTAAGATAAGCAATTGTGGTTCCTAAGTACCACCCAAAGCAAAGTGGTCCTGTAAAAACAAAAGGAGATAGAAAAAGAATATTTTGAAAACAAATCATAGATAAAATGAATATCTATATATGGATGCGCTCGCCTCTGAGTTGGAAGCTCCTCGCAAAATTTTTACTCAAATCGCTTTATGGATTGCGAGATATTGTTCCAAGAGTGAGCGGAGGTCACGAGGACTGATACACATTTACGTATTGTGAATCCCCAACTTTTCAGCTTGATTTGACCTCGATCCAAGTGGAGAAACCCACAGATCTTTATATGGATGAAAGGCCCATGTAGCAACGAGTAACATACTAAATTTTGGGCCCATTTGGCTCCGAGAAGTGGGAGATATGGCCCCCGGCTTTTTGAAAAACATTTCACTTCTTGCTGTAATTCTGATGAAGATGGACTATTTTCACAGTATGGTCTGTTTTCTTTTCTTTATGGTCACTCTGTGGTGCTCCAAAGATGATGCCTAAAATGACACTTCTCGATGTCAGATTTGGTTGAAATTTTTACTAATTTCTTTTCTTATGATCACTTTCCTCTCATAGGAATCTGGGGCCCATTGCTCACTGATTTCTTGGGGTTCTTTTGTAAAGTTGATCCAATTCAGGTGGACCCTTCCTATGGTTCAAGGCGTTTGAGAGGCTGTATGTCTTCTATTCAATGTCGAATTGGGCTCAAATTTCGACTGTAGCCCATTTACATTGATACCTTCCACCTATAAAGTTCTTGGGGTGTTTATCTTTGTATATCTTGAGGAATCTTTGTAAATTAGCCTTAGATCAGTGTTGTGAAATGGACGGTTGAGCTTCATTGGACCATGTCTTGGTCATCCAGCCTCTGATTTGCCTGATTTTTGGAGGGTGGCATTGGGATACCTTGGATTAAAGATTGAACGGTCAGATTATGATTTTGATCTATTTTGACCCAAGTTTGTTTGTGCCTCCATATGGATCATTTGATTGCTGATTTGGGCATGATCAGTTTCGGATCTCTCTTTTTTGGCAGGGAGCTTCCTTTCATCATATTAAGGGGATATTTCATCTTTTGATATATTATGAGACAATTTTTTTTTTACCCATTGTAGCCATTTTCAATGGTTCCTTCGGTATTCCAACAATTCATGCTGGGAATTTATTTAACTAGACATTGTCACTTCGAAGTTTGGTGACATTTTATTTGTGAGACAAAATATCCCCAAGAACAAAGTGCATTTCTTCATGTTGGCATATAATTTCTCTTCATAAAAAGCTCCTCATGCGAAACTCGTTATGCATTTCTTCGGGTTCTAATACCAACCAGGTGCAAACCTAGTAGCTTGGACCTATGGTTTAGCAAAGAAGAAGATAGGGAAGATCCAAATTTAGAGAAAGATTCAAAAATTGGGGATAAAAGGGGCACTGGCTGCTCTAGGGTTTTGGATAAAGTCCATAACAAGATCCTTCATTATGCTTGAGTACACCCCTTAAATTGGAAATCCCTAAACAAGACTTAATCCTAGCCATCCATGTAATTTAATCATGGCTATTTATTATAAAAGACTCTAAGTGAATAAAAAGATATAAAAGACTCTGGAAATTACTTCTTATGCCCCTCAGTAAATAAAATAACTCAAGAAATAAATAAAAGATATAAAAGGATATAGTCAATGACTAGTTTGCCCTTCTACAGTTCCCCTTATAAACTTTAAGCTTATCTCTCTTGTCTGGATGCTTGAGCATTGTTGTGGGCTTCATCAAGAAAGCATGTCAATGTCAAAAAGTAAAAGAAAATGAAAAGATGGACTGAGTAGGGGAAAATAAAAAATCAGGAAAAACTCGTGAAAATTCACTAAAATTTGTGATAAATCAAGAATAAATTGGGGAAAACAAACTATAGTACCAAAAAATAGATTTACAAACATATTTGATAATGTACCTGTGTTGATTTTTTCATTTGATTTAGGATAAATCTGGTTTCACCTAGATCTAGTTTTTGCTTGCTGACTAAGAGCTGCGACATGTTTTTCATTTGAATTTGTACTTTTGTTTTCAAATAAATATCTGGAAATGCTTTATAGAAATGAGAAAAATGTTATTTTTTTTTGTTATTATATAATTTTCAAGAAAGAGTTAACCAAGCACCTACAAGATGCGGTACTATGGTGTATGTTGTTGACAGATGACATGGTTTTGATTGATGAGACTAGAAGCGGCGTCTGCGCAAAGTTAGAACATTGGAGGGATGCTCTAGGATCTAAAGGTTTTAAAATTAGCCAGACTAAGATAGAATATGTGGAATGCAAGTTTAGTAACAATTAAAGTCGAAACAAAGAAGTAGTTATGATTGATGGTCAAGAAATACCTAAAAGAGATTGTTTTCAATATCTAGGGTCAATAATCCAGGAGAATGGAGAGATTGAGAAAGATGTCACACATAAAATTGGAGTTGGGTGGAGGAAGTGAAAATGTGCATCCAGAGTTTTATATGATCCACGTGCAATTGAGACTGAAAGGGAAGTTCTATAAGATAGCTGTTAGACCAGCCATGCTTTATGGGACGGAATGTTGGGCGGTTAAAAACGTAGACCAAATATAGCACTGGTTAGGAGGTGCGCTTTGGTTCAAGTGGAAGGCTCTAAAAAGACAAGGGGAAGGCCTAAAAAGACATGGATAGAAGTAGTGAGAAACGATATAGTGTCTTTCGGTCTTAGTGAGGGTATGGCCCTTGATAGAGAAGAATGCAGGAACATGATTCATGTAGTCGACTCCAAATAATTGGGATAAGACTTGGATGATGATGATGATGATATATAAATCAAGAATAAATATGGTTTTTTTTTTTTTCACTTTATCTTAGACTGTTTGAAGAAATAAAATCATATTTATAGTTTACATTTGGAAAAATCATTCCAAGAAAAGTGAGATTTATGAAAACAAATGAGATTCGAAGAATAGTAGGTCGTAGATCGATACCCAAAGTTGGCAATCAATTTGAAAGCTATTATTGTAATGACATGCATCCTTGTGAAAATTAGTATATTCAGTAGGGTTGAAAGAAACTCAAGGGAGATCACCATCTATTGAACCAGAGCTCTTAAACAGCCATGCTAGGAGCTGTGGGATTTGTTTCACCTCCATCCTTATCTACTCTTCTTCTTCTTCTTTTTATCGCTCTATTCTTATATTTGTCATTATCATATTTCTGGATTTATTCATCATCGAAGTTTGATATTTCAATTTGCAGAGGCTAATGTGTTGAGTCTAGGCAAATAGTCAAAAAAGAAAAATGTTGAATGACTTGAGTCTAAGCTGCTCTGTGATCTGATCTATTCCTTCATTTTGTGTGCCTTTGTACAAATTAAAAAGATTTGAGAACTTCATGAAAGAATATCATAGTTTCTTATATGATTATGTTGTTTCCATATACATTCAAATATTGATACACCTCAGTTTGGGTGAAATGTATGAATTGGCAAGTAAGCATTTCTTACAAAAAATTGGTTGCTTTTCAAAGCTACAAGATGCTATTTGAAGCCATTTTACTTTTGGGAATGGCAAACTTCAAATCTTTTTCATGTTTCATTTAAGAGGTGTGGTAATGAAATCCTCTCATTCTAAACATAAACCATCTTGATCAGGTTAAGTGTATCTTGAGGGTTACCATTGCCATATTATGTGGGGAATTTAATTGTTCACTTGCTCTTGTCGGTAATTTAAGAACCAACTAGATATCCTGTTTTATCCTCCCAAGTCGTTGAATTCTTAATTGAAATTTTTTTTTTTGTTTTTTTTTTTTAACTTTGACCATGTGCAGAAACTGGAAAAAGATCTTGAGAACATAGGAGTACAGGTTAAAAACCATGAAACTATACTGGAAAAGCTGAAGCATCAGCAGAGTGAGATTGATAATAGTATCTGTGCTATAAAAGGTTAATTTGCGGAGCTTGATTTTTAAATTGATGGATCACTTGCATTTATTTTGGTTGATTACCCACCTGGCAAAACTGTCACTGTATTTAGTAGTTCACTTGTTTTATTTGGGGGAATGTTTGTTGTAAGAGAAGTATATCTTAAAACTATTTACCTTTTGTGCATAAAGGTCACAATTAACCATAGCTATTAGATGTGAAATCGAGCAGCTGAGGTTATACCACTGAACATTCTTGAAGTTTGAAAAAATTTTATCAGAAATCGTTTAGAGTAATGGCACACCATAGCTTTCGAGTTTACACCTGACAGCTTGCGGTGCTTGTGACCTTGTAGAAAGGCAACGTCCTAATTGTATACAATCCTTTGCTATAATCCAAAAGACCCTGGAAAGCCATAGTGCATTGGGATCAGCACTTCTGAATGAAATGATTGGTAACTTGGTAATGGAGAGATGGTGGGTACCACCACAACAGTAGATTACTGCAATTTTGGGTTGCACTCTCTCTCTATCAGTCTGTCATTCTGTCACAGTTGAGACCCCCATGGGCTATGTTCTTCCATAGTCCAAGTATTTTGCCTTCCCTCTGCTTTGCAAGAACATCAATCTTTTTTTATATGCATTAACTGATCAAAAAGGTGCGCCCAAACTGAATAGATGAAATACCACCTGAAGTGTATCAACATATTGATGACTTGGGGTATGCCAAGGAAACAATATCAAAACAAATAGAAAGGAAGAGCAAAATTGCAGCTTCAGTTTTATCCAAGCGTGTGCTGCCCCGAAGAGTTAGGGAGCCTCAGTTTTCATTTGTACAGGATGTGATTGGAATCGTCGCCCTTCTTGGTTCAGTCTCCAGCAGCCGGCTTAGCAGGTGAAACCTTTTCTGAGTTATTTCAGTTTCTTCTAATAACCTATAAATTTTTCTGAACACTAGCTGCTTGGAGTATATGTCATCTGTGTATCTGTGTGTCTGTCTGTCTCTGTGTGTGCCTGTCTCTGTGTGTGTGTGTGTGTGTGTGTGTGTGTGTGAGAGAGAGAGAGAGAGAGAGAGAGAAAGGTGTTTGATGAGAGCAGGAGTGAGGTTGATGACCCTGTGCATTTTTTACATGTATAGCGTACTTCCACTGAGAAAATTTTATGCTAGCTCCCTTGGGAAAAAGTTTGAGATGAAATTTTGGGAATCCACAGATTCACCAGATGAGTAATTTCAAGAAAACAAATTTGATTTTGAGTTTCTGAAGACCTAGATCTAACCATCCAAAATTTGGAGGGTCCGTATTTGATCTTTGTTCCTGCAGATTTAATGTGCTAATTCAACCTTTTTTTTTAGTGGTCACCAGGTTGAATAGGTTATATTTTCCTGAAATTTGGTGTCCAAAAAATACTCCTAGCTAGGTTTTTGCCCAAGGGAACTATATAATTTGCTCACATGCGGACATTTATCTTGTCCAAACTGGTATTTGACACCTGTTGGTTTCCATAGCTCTGTCCAAAAAGTACCCTTTTTTGATATTCCTAGACTGCATTCTATTCTCTTTCCTTTATCCTTTGGTATACTCCCATGCCTTGATTGTAGTCTTCTTACTGAATTTAGTTGACCTCTTAATTTTTGTTTCTTCTTAAATGTAGTTTTTTTATCAAGTTTAGTTTACCTCTTAATTCTATGTCTTTCTTGTTTTCTTTGGTGCAAAAAACATGCAACCATTGAGTTCTTTCTGTTGCAGAGTACTTGCAAATTACTTAGGAGAAAACCATATGCTTGCAATCGTTTGCAAATCTTCTGAAGGTGCGAGAACACTAGAGCGGTTTGCTCAAGATGGCAAAATGGATTGTAACCGTGCTCTTCATGGAGCCACCTTTAGCCCTTCAAAGGAGCATATAACCTCTCAGTTTCATGTGATTTGCCTTGAAGAGTTAAGGTATGTAATAAGGGGAAATTATAATGCAATAAATTTTGGGAAACCATAGTCCTTTGGGGTCATCACTATCCGGCAAGTGATGGATGGTAATGGAGAGTGTGACCCCTACAGCACGATATAAGCCTCATGGTGACCCTCACTCTCTCCATTGATGTGTCTCATTTTACTGAGCGATTGTGGCCTCAGATGATTATGGGTTTCAATAGTCCCTTAGCTCATACTATTCTTTTCCTCAGAATATTTCCCACATTGTCACAGTGAAACTTAAATTATAGTGGAAAAACATTTGCTTTTTCAGCATGTTTCCAGGGAATTATAAATTTCATTTGAAATCTGGGAGACAAAGAACATCTTGCTCTTTTCTATATTAGAAACTCATTCTAGTCATTTTTGTTTCAATTTTTTTTTTTTTCCTTTTTTTTAACTTTCTTTTCTTTTAACTTTTCTTTTCTTTTTGGGTTACTAGTCCATTTTCAAGGAGAAGTAGAGACTAGTCAACCACAGAGCAGATTAAACTTGTCACATCCTATGCTCCCATCAGCGAGAAAACCGTCAGGGTTCCAAGGGTTTGCTGTAAATATGATTAATTTGGACGTTCAGAACTTGCACACTGTCACTGATGATGGCCGTGGCCTTCGTGAGACTCTATTCTATTATCTTTTTGGTGAGCTCCAAGTGTATCGGACCAGAGCAGATATGGAGATGGCGAGCGAATGCGCAGATATGGGGGCTGTCTCTCTCGATGGTGGAATTCTTAGGCGCAGAGGCCACATTGTTTTAGGAACTGCGTAATTATAACCTCTCTCTCTATCTCTCTCTCACACACACACAATGCACAACTTTATTGAAAATTTAGAACAATGGTTCCTTGATTTCATTTATAGTTTGGAACTTGCAAACTCTTTGGTTTATGCAGGGAACCTTATATTACGTTTCCAGTAGCATCGTCCCCAAAGGAACAGTGGGACATGGAGCGTATCTTGCATTCTCTGAAGGAGATTGAAGAAAAGAATACCCAGAAAGCAGAATTGGCTGCCCGTAGGGATGATGAACATGCACGATATATGAAGACATTGTCAAAATTTAAAAAGAAGAAAGAACAATGGGAGAAGTTCCATAAAGAGAAAGTGCCGTTGCTAACCTCTTGGCAAAAGAATCTCTAGGTATGACGAATGACAGTGGTTGGCTTTTGCATATGCTATATATACATATGTATAATGTATAGGTATCACTGCCTGTGGTTATGGTACTATCAAATGTTGCACAGTTAACCTGCATGTCACTGTAAACTTTTGCAATTTTTGGGTGTTCTTTTTTATATTTTATTTTATAATTATTTTAGTATTTCCCTGAAATTATTGGTTTATCGTGATGATTAATAGCATATTTTTTGCTCAAGTTATCAGCCGTCTTCCACGATTAAAGATATTTTCACTTCATCATAGCAAAGCTCAATAATCCAACCATACAAGACACCAACGGCCTTCTTTGTCCCTTGACCAAAGATGAATGATAAAAAAAAGGAAGCGATATTTACAAATATGTACAAAAAAGAAAAAATTATTTTCATATTTTACAATCAAGTCTTATTTGAGAACAAAATATATATTTTATTTTACAATCAAGTCTTATTTGAGAACAAAATATATGTTTCACATTTTACAATCAAGTCTTATTTGAAAACAAAATATATTCACATTTTACAATCAAGTCTTATTTGAGAACAAAATACATTTTACAATCAAGTCTTTTTCATATATTGGACTAAGCTTATATTTGGCACATGCATTCTTCCTATCATCATGCACAAAAATAATTTGAAATAAATGAAATTATTAAACTACCCCTAAATGGTAGAGGGGTATTGTGGTAATTTATTTATTTAAATTATTTTTAATGTTTTTAGGAAAAAGATCAGAATGGGTTTCGAACCCCTTTTTATATCAATAAGGTATGTCTTCCCAAAAAACTATTGAGAATTTTCTAAATTGCTCCTGTTTGGTTTTGAAAAGCCCAAACAATTGGCGGTGTTTTGATCATTTTAACCCACATACATTAACCATATGATAATTGGGCTTAAAAGTATCATAGTATCTAAAATTTTTTACCGAATAGGGGTAATTTAGTTTTTTTAAAAAAAGAAAACTGATTATATGGAATTTGAAAAGCATAACCTCAAGCAGTGATTTAAAAAATGATTTGGTGACCTGCATCGGGCATACCAAAAATCAGTTCTTTTTGGTAAATCGGTAGTCTGGATCATCGTTTTTTGTACAAAAAAAATAGTTCAAGTGCTTAAAAAACATGTGAAAAAATTGTGAACCGGCCAAAAAATCAATCTGAATAAGTGAATCGACGGTTTGGATCATTGTCTTACTATAGAGAATCGTAGTTTTACCATCCAAATCTGCCTGTTCCATTTTAGATTCGGTTGTTTTCCTATATATATGCAAAACATGAACGGGGTGATCAATTCCTGGGTGATACTAGGTGATTTTATATTGAGCAGGCGTTTTTTAACCACTGTCATCGGATTTAATATTTCGACCATTTTAATTATATTGACATAATGTAATGGGTTCCGAATCTTTCTGTTTTCCGTTTCTTTTTATTTTTTTTAATAGGTGCATGATGGTAAAAAATGTGGAAGTATTGGTTTTGAGCTTAATTTGATGTATATTATTATATAAGAGATAAGTGACACTGTTGAACGTCCATATGAGATGTATAAAACATTTATCAACCCGCAATCATAAATGGAGATGTGAGACAAGCGTACTCTCTCCCAATTAATTGGGAATCTTTGGTTGTTTTCCTGTCCATATGAGTTGAGGGACCCACAACTTTTCTTTCTTTTTTTTTCTGAAACTTTCATAAAATTTAATGAAATAAATTACATCATAGAATAAGGGAAAAGTTTATATAGAGCCGAGGTTTTAAACAACCAAATAAGAGTCTACCTAAAAAATTTCATTAGAATAGGTTGTTTTGATGCCCAAATATCTTCAAATTGACCATTGCGACATTAAGATGCATGGACATAGAAGGAAATGCATTTCAAGTTTTGAAAATAGTCTATTTTGTAATGCATTTTTCGACCGTCAATTTTCAAGATTTTCAAGTTTTTATCGATGTGTCTATCTACACTATCTTTGAATATTTTAAGTTTTTCACAAAGATTTTCAATATTGAAACCAAATTTCTCGACATTAGTTGAAGGTAAGCTCTAATTTGATCGTTTAGAGCCTAGGCTCTATACAAACCACACCCATAGAATAAAGGAAAACAAAAGCAAGAAATCACAAAAGAAGATGAGAGGCTGTATATAGAAATTATACAGCCTCGACATGATGCCATGCTCAAAGTAGAGATTCTAATCGGCAGTTGCAACTTTAGTTAGTCCTTGGTTGTGCTCTCTGTGGAGGTTAAATATAACCTCCCTTCCTCGCAATCCATACAAGATTTCACTCATAATGGAGGTCCACAACCATGGTGTTTGCTCAGGGGATTTGCACCAGTTGATCAACAATCGCCAAATGGCTTGGATCCAATTTGATAATGCCAAACTTAAAGCCCATGGATTTGCCTCGGCGATCCCACATCTATGCAATTGACCTTAGTAGGTCCATTAGGTAGTCCCATTATTATCTTTCAACATACCCTGCAATCTGCTATTCACCCCTAACACTGCATTTAAAATTCAATTTGACCCATGATTGGCTTCCATAGAGGTAATCTTGTATACCTGTGTTTCTGAGAACATTTGCGAAGTCTTGAAAAGGACCTCCCTTGGAGTGTCAATGAAAGCGTACTGCACTCGCGCCCATTATGTATAGATGGAAGTGATTGCTGCACAAACCTAGGATATATGTTTGATTTTCCTATGAATACTCTATTATTTCTTTCCTTCCGTAATACAGCTGCAAAAAAGATCCTCCACAAGATGAAGGCCATTAGCCGAAAACATGGGGGGACAATGCCTGTTCTAGTAGGCTTTCCTGGGGAGGATCCAATGCCATTCTGATGTTTTGAAAACGTTCTCTTGTAAATGGGCAATGAAGGAAAATGTAATTATTGGCTTCATAGGGTAAGCAGACATTCATGACTGTCATCCCTCTTCTTCTGAGAGATATGCGGCCAAAGTTCTGTTTTGTGCCAGCAACCATCGGAAGCCCTTCACTCTATGTGGCACCTTACCATTCCAATATTTATGGATTGCCAAGTTGTCTGGTACAAATTGATCCCTTGATATTTCTCTGTATAAAGATCTAACGAAGAAACTCCCATTAGGCTCTAGGTCCTAAACAATCTTGTCATGTTTTCTCAGCTAGTGGAAGAAGCCTTGTAACATCGTCATTAGAGAGGTATATTGGTTTTTCACTACCTCATTTGGTCGGCCCTGGATTTTTAACCCACTTATATATTTTCTTTTTTTAGAAAAATATGTGTGATGCCCCCTTTGGTGCATGCACATGTGTGCACGCGGGTGACCCCAGTATGTGTGCCCATGAGGATAAGGGTGGGAGGTGTAGTGAGCGGTTCGAACCAACAAAATAATGGAACGAGGTGATGTTTACCTCGAGGTAAAGGGTCAGATGCACTTGGGCAGATTGCCTTCTTAGATTCTGGCACCCGTGCATGCTTGGGAAAAGCCCCCTAGTCGTCAGCCGACATAGTTTGGACTCAACCCCTTCGCTCTCCTCGACTCAGTACTATCTTTTTGAGTTTGTGCAAACGTGTGGTCCAGGTCTTCCAAACTCCTAGGCTTATCTCTTTGGCTTGAAAAAGTTCAAGTGCAGGTTTGATAGGGTGTGATGTAGGCTAAGCTAGGCTAGGTTTGAACTAGGCTTGGTGTAGTTCGGGGTTTGGGTCAGGTTGGCTCACAGTGGCTTTGGTGGGTTAGGTGTTCAGGTCAAGTTGGCTCACCTCGGATTAGGAGGCCTTGCCTAGTGTGGGTTAGGTAAGCTTGGGTAGAAACGTGGGTTAGGTTGGGGTAGGTTAGGGTAGCTTAGACATGGTTGGGCTAGGTTGGTCTAGACTAGGTTAGGCTAGACTAGGTTAGGTTGCTCTAGGTTAGACGAGGTTGGGCTAGGTTGGTCTAGAGTAGGTTAGGCTAGACTAGGCTAGGTTGGTCTAGACTAGGTTAGGCTAGGCTAGGCTACATTGGTCTATACTAGGTTAGGCTAGGCTAGGTTAGGTTGACTAGGTTAGGCTAGGCTAGGTTGGGCTAGGCTCCGCTAAGTTAGGTTTAGGCGTGCTAGGCTCATTTGGGTTAGACTAGGGTAGGCGTGGCTTGGTAGGATAGGCTAAACTAGGTTGGTTTAGGCATGATAGGCTACGTAGGCTAGGTATGGGGATGAGATGACCACTAAAAAATCTGATGGCCCTTTGGCGTCACCTCCCTTAGGAGGCCATTCTAGTGGCGGTGGAAAAGGTACTAGACGCACAACCTAAGTACCCAAAGGAAGCCAAGGTCACGACGCCATTGGGTCAAGGCCGCTTGGAGGATGCCTCCTAGAAAGTGGTCTAGGTGAGGAATTGTGGATGGGTATGAGTATGGTCTAGATAGGGAGTATAGGTAGGTGTAGAATATGGATGGGTAGGGAATATGGATGGGTATGGAGTAGGGATAGGTATGGAGTATGAATAGGTATAGCACATGGATGGGTATGGGGTATTGTCTAGGATGAAAGTGTCGTCGAACTAGAGAGTATGGCAGGAGAACAAGACACAATGCAAAAGCACACACTCTCTCCTAGGTTTAAGCCATTTTCAATGCATTTCCATTAAACATTCCATGGGGTTTACATAGATGTAACCCTTGAAACATAGATGTGCACTCAAAACCCATAAAAATTAATGTAAAATAGAATTATGAAAAATTAAAATTAAAATTAAATTCGGAATATGGAAAAACAACAAAAAAAGGCCCCCATAGAGGGCATGTCCTCATCCACATGGCTTGGACCTTCTTTTTTGATTTTTTGACGGTGTTTCAGATAATCTATTGTCTTGAAACTACAAATCGTGCCAAGGTGATCATTTTGAGATAAGACTTGCCCGATATCCCAGAGTTTTGCTCCGATTACCGGCAAACTTGTATTGTCTTTGTCGCTCAATCTTGTCAAAAATGCCACTTATATTATCTTGTTTTTGTTGGGCAATCGAAGGGGATGTTGTTACAGTCGTTTTGCATCAAGAACCGCACGAAATGACCTCTGTTTGGCCATTTTGGGCTTTTGGGAAGTCCCCAAGAAATCACTTTTCTGACACCTCAAAACTTGTGCCCACTTGCGAG